ACTTACTCTGCAGAGTTCTTATATAATATGATATAGTCAATAAAAATTCCTTAGGAAAGGAGGTGTCTTATGCTAGTTTGAAAGTTTAAAAAATCAAGTTCATGTTCACAAGTTGACACCTTTCAGATCAGTCACTCCCTAATTTTTTTTTTCCAAACTTTCCCAGCAAAACCAGCCTTGTCTTTTCTTGATATAAACGCAGGGTAGAGCAGGCACTGATCTAGGGTTTCTGCATATAATCAATCGTTTCCTATCTCACAACCTTCAAACCTTTAAATTTCAGTCTCAAAACACTGAACAATTTGAGTTAAGATAACAGATGAGTTGCTTTGCATTCTCCCATTAGAGAAATAGACTGTGGCTGAGAGGTACGACGGAGACTGGAGTACAGTTTGATCATATCTGAATCACCCTTAAGGTAAAATATACCAGTTTTCTTCTGCAGTGAATCAGGCTACAAATCAGAGCATGTCTAAATGACATTCTCAGTCATTTTCCAGTCTGCAAGGTAGACGGCTTTTCATTTCTCAGGACCACTGTCTTCAACCCCACGCTGTATTTTGTTTGTTGGTTGGTTTTTATTTTGGGGTTTTTTTAATTTGCTTGTTTTTAAGAAAGAGTATCTAGAGAGAAATACCCTGTGGACTTTTTACAGAGAAAAAGACAACAGCTTTAGAGAGAATTCATTTAACAATAGGAAATATTCATTTGTGTGTTCAGCAAATATTTATTTAACTAAGCATGGTAGCCAAGAGCATAGCTTCTAAACCCAAGCTTAAGCAAGTTATTTAATCTAAGTACCTCAATTTCGTGGTCTGTAAAAAGGGTGTAATAGTAGCACCCATTTCAGTTACGTGAATATATGTAAAGTGCTTGGCATATGGTAAGAACTCAAGTGCTGAATGTCATTATTAGATGTTGTCATACTTTTAGGAACCTGAGTGTAGTACTGCTAACTTACTAGGAGGGAAAAATTCTTTCTTAGAAAAATAGAAGATAAAGGGGTAATCTTTTTGGAAATTATGGCAAGCACACATCGGCAGGAACACACTTGTTTGTACAAGTATGTGTGTTGATTTTAGCTACCTGACAGAATATTTCAGGTAGAAGTTTATTTCATGTCATTGTACCCTCCTCACATTTTAAGAGGAAATGACTAATCACAGTGTTTAACCAAACCTCTTGATTGTTGTCTACTCGCAAGTTGTCAGTCGTGACTGAATTGATGGTGTAAAGATCAAAATCCACAATTATGAACTCAGGAAGTAAAGATATTACCGCTAAACTTGGCTATTTTGGATTAACCTTCAGGTCAATAATCTGTCCAACCCAGTGTGGTTGGCACTCCAAGGTGATGTCATTATATCTATTCATTGCCCTTTCTTTCCCTAAATATACCAACAACAAGGAAAGATGGGATTGCAGGAGAAATGATTCTGTGACACTAGAATTCTACTTTTTCTAGCATTTGTAATCTAATCCTCAAACTAGCTACACGATTTAGATTAAAGAGGATCTGGTTCTGCCTCACAGAGATTTAACTTTGTATAACTTAAATTGTAACTAGTAATTTATAGCCTATTCTGGTGGATTTGTGATGATTAAATTCAGTCATTTTTTTATTCTGTTTTTTAAATACTTTTGGTAATATTAATGCAGTAAAGAATGAGATAACATATCATACCATGTAAGGATTGCAGTGATTTCTTACAATTATTCAGTACATTTGAAATGTATAATTTATGATTCTTAATCGTTGAATGGAAAATATGTTACATATGAAGGTTTAAAAAATTCTGTCTTGCATTTTTCCTTCGTTCGAGTCAGTACGTTTCAGCTATAAAGTATGTAATAGTGTTTTGTTTTAGCCAAAAAAAAAAAAAATCCCACCTTTTGGAGCTATAAAATATACAGAATTGAAAGCTGACACCTAATATATTTTTCATTAGGTACAGATGTTCGATGTAAAATTCCTCAAGTATTCATGGAAAGCAGGATAACTAAAATTTTTTTAGGTATGACGCCTAAAAAGTAAAAACCATACCTTTTGGTAAATTGCTAACTACTTTTTAATGAAAGCCATTTTTCTTTTTTATAATTTACAAGTTCTTTTAAATTTATTGTAATCATCTTGTTACTTCACATTATGAGTAGAATCTAAATTTTCATGTAATGTAATGCAATGGGAATACCTAAGGACTTCTTCCAAATGTAGAAAATCTTAGAAACAATTTACAAGGGAACCATTCAACAATTTAAAGCTTACCTTCTTTACCTTGAAATTTCACTGATAATTTCAATTATATTTCTAATATTTATTTTTTATGGTTGTTTGCAACATAACTTCCTTACTGCATTGAAAATGCAAGCCAATATGGTGAATGCATAATACAAGTTCTGAGTTGTGCTGCCATTTTACATCTTGAGACTATTACTTTCATTCCTTAATTGAGTTGAGCTGCATACAATTTTGAAATAATAGTAGTTCTGTGTAGGCTACCTCTGTGGTGAGTACTTAAAGCTACTGACATTTTGCCTCCTGCAGAAGTCATTATCCTAACTGAGGGCTAGAATGTGAACTATCCAGTAGGGAAAAAAGAACGTTAAAAAAAAGTAATTCTTTTTCCTCCTTTACCTGCCCTTCCCCTAAAACTATTTTTAAAAAATCATTTTAAACAGATGTTTCTTAAAATCCAAATATATTAGTTCTACAGTTTAACTGTAGGCCACTAATTTATCTGTTTTCCAACTGGTTCACATTTATCTTAAGTGTTCATGGAATTGAGCTGCATGCATTCTTCTTACGGTTAAAGTTAATCCTATGATGACTCTCAGTGTAAAGCTTTAAAATACTGGGGATTTTTTGCTTTAACTTTACTACTTTCAACAAAAATAATATCCAACATTTTCTTTAAGTTTTCCAGTAGCCTGTTTCTCACTTTTTTTTTAAAGGTGAAAGGTAATTAGGTTTATTTACTTATTTATTTTTAATGGAAGTCCTGGGGATTGAACCCAGGACTTCATGCATGCTAGGCACGCACTCTACCACTGGGCTCTACCTCCCTCTTGTTTCTTTACTTGTTAATTCTCATGCTCACTGAACACATTTACTAGGTACCTTCTATGTAAATAATAGGAACACACACAAAACAATAATACCTCAAGAGGTCAATAGTGTACTGAAGACGGCAAGAACTTTACACAAAACATGTTATTAGCAATAGAAGACGTTCAATGCATGCCAAAGTATGTGATCCTCCTGAGTATGACCATTTTAGGAAGACCAGTGTACACTGGGAGAATCTCTTTATGGGTTTCTGGTTAAAGGAAAAGTAGAACTTGGTTAGGCAGATAGAAAACTGGGGGATGCTTCAGGCAGGGCGCATGCCTAGAATAAAGGCATGAGACTGGAAACGGGAAGTTCTGCTAATGGAACTGGGAAGGCAGGGTGCCGACCGAGGAGCAGAGTGTAAGGACATTAGAGTGGAAAGGTGGATTAGCGGCAGATGAGAGGACTTTGAATATGGGGTTAAAGTGGGTATATTTTATTTGTTAGGTAGAGGAGATTAGGGACTATGCAGTAAAGGTGAAAACTGACTCAGTGCGGGTGGTGTTTGGCATTATTAATTTTAGCAGTGATTAGGACATATACTGGAGGGAGAAGTCAAGGGTCCAAGGACTGGCCGTTGTTCTTTTTGCTAGAGTTTGGGTACCAGATCGTGAAATTTTTTATTGAGATTATGGTACTAGAAACAGAAGGGAGCATGAATCTACAGAACTTGTGACTAATACGTTATAGGAAATTAAGACAGGGAAATGAAACATTCTGAAACTTTGAGAATTACAAAACCAGGAAAAGGAGAGAGCTTTGGGAAAGATGAATTTTGAGAAACATATAAGAATGAAAGGAATGGTATTATAGGTAAAGGGGAATGGAGCCATCAGGAGTGATAGTTAAAGCATACAGCTTCTTTAGGGACGATAAAAAATGCACTAACATTGATGGTGGTGGTGATTTCCCAAGTCTATGAATTTACTAAAAGCCATTGAATTATATGCTTTAAATGGGCAAATTGTAAGGTATGTGAATTATATCCTCTAAAGCTGTTACAAAATAAAAGAATAAAAGAAGAAAGAAAATATACTTTGGGAGCATAGAAGAAAGAAGAAAAACAACTTTTCACCAGTAAAATAATATCAGGGATGTACAATTTTGAATAGTTTGGAACAGCAGTAATTGAAGCCATGAGTGGTTGGGAGGAGAGAGAAAAAAGCAGAGATGTGAACCTGATAATTCCACAGGTCAAGCCCTGCATCAGGAAGGGGAAAAATGATCAGAGGTTGTGTGTTCTTACAGAGAGTTTATCACTTGCATTAATTTAACCTCTGTATTATCTTAATTGGGAAAGCAAATGTAGTGGCATTTAGAGATATGCCTTTATGCATTGACCATCCTATTAAAATTGCCAGTGGCGGTTGATTTTTTGATATGATATGGCTGTATTTAAAATCAACAGAACGCTCTTCTAATGAAAAATGAACACATCACACAAAATACCACTTGTGCTTTGTGCACTTGCCTTGCAGGCCACGGCAAAGGGTCACAGAGGATGAGACTCAAACAAATCTCAGAGGCCAAACTGTATGATCATTGAAAGCTGGTTACTTGAGTTTCATTGACTGGTTGGTTTCTATTCTTGATTGCTAAGTAGTGGGACCCTTTACCCAGGCCATCCTTTTGCCACTTTTAACATCAAATAAAACATCCATGCAGTTGAAACTATACTATGAAAATAGAAAATATTGAGATTCTTGGGACCAAAGGAAAACATAAAATTCCAAAGAAACTGTTCTTCCCAGGGATTTCCTATCCCAGATATGCAACTCAGCTGGAATTGAAACTCTGGTGGTAAAAATGGCATCAAATATGTCAGCATGAATGTCACACTTGGGTTGGGGAATCACTGTGCTTTTATAACGCTTCTTTTTTTCTATTTCAGGGAAGGAGATTACAGCAGAAACTTTCATGGAGAAGTTGGATAATGGTGCCTTGCTCTGTCAACTTGCAGAAACCGTGCAAGAGAAATTCAAAGAGAGCATGGAGGCTAACAAGCCCACAAAGGTAAAAGATCCCAAGGCAGAATCACTCACTGCCTGGTGGTGGATTACAATTGCAGTGGCTTATGAATTGAGTTTAATTTGAGGATTTTGTTGTGAATGGATGCAGTAATGCTTCTAAAACTCAGAGGGTGCTTTTTAATTAGGTAACATGTTATTTGCCCTCTAATTACATAAATTACATAATCCTTTTGGTAAGTCTGATTAAACAGAAGGTTATGGAAATTGATAGTATTAGTACAAAATAAATACTGTGTATAAACTGGTTAATCTGACAAATTGGTTCAAAATTTAGCAGAGAAATAACTTATGTCATCAGGCAATGAACAAAATCTGGTCAAGAAAGATTCACTGAAGAGGTCTTTGTTTCCAAGTAGATTATTATGGTAGAACACTGAATTAAAATATCTGGACTGTGTAATTTTTTGCTGGTTTTAAATAATAGATTGAACTAAGTAACTTTGGACAAACTATTTTTTTTCTGACTACTCTGATTTCTTTTCTGCACACTGTTCTAATATTTTTTCACGGTTATTATAAATACATAAGTGTGGTGTTGATAATTTTTTTAAAGGAACAAGGTAAATGACACTTTTCTTAATTTTAAATAGAGAAGGAAAAGAGGGCAGAAAAAATAAGGTTAAAATAATGTTGAGGGCAGCTGAAAACAAAAATAAGAAAACTATTAAACTCTCCGTAACTCTGGGGGAAAAAAAGTAAAGCTGATTATTTATGTATTGTTTCTTTATGACTGTGGAACTAAAATCCAAAACGAAAGATCAGGTTCCCTAAAACAATGTATTCCTTTTACAGCACTACAGTTGGTTTGGGGATAATATTTTATATCACCCTGTAAAGTACTATATAATATACAAAGCCCCTTATTTGTTTTCACCTTAAGAGCAGCTCTGTGAAGGTATTAATTAATTCAGTGGCTCTCAAACCTTGCTACCCAGAGGAATCGCCTGAAGGTCTTTAAAAACTACTGGGAGCTGGCTCCCATGCCTCAACATTCGAATTTAGTCCCTAGGGAGAGCCACCTGGGGGGTTGGGATTTCTTAAAAGCTCTGCAGGTGCTTTTGATGTGCAGCAAAGTTTGGGAACCACTGAGGGTTTTTTTTTTTTTCTTCTGCATTTAGATGCAGACTAAGTGATTTGTGCAACATCACCCAGCTAGGCAGTGACCGAGCTGAGAACTTAACACAGACATCCTCTTTCCAAGACTAGTGCTCTCATTTCGGTTCACTCTGAGAGCATAGGCACGAAGAGGTTTCTCACGAAAATGCAAACTCAACGTTAGGACTGGTAGGAGACCAGTTATTCTTCTGCCGTGGCTTCCATTGTAATGCAACCGGCCTCTACTTCAGTTTGCTAATGAGAAAACATAATGCCTAATAGGAGGACAATTTGTATACAAAGTTCACTCTAAAATAATGAACAGAGGGGAAAAAAAGTGTCGTGCTCTGATTTTTTTCAAAGCATTATCTTAATCAAAGAGAGAGCCCATTGTCTCCATATTTCCGTCTTGAATTCTTCCTAGTAACAAAGAGTAAACAACTCTAAGGTACAGTTTTCAGTAACTTTTTGATTGTTTTCTAAACTATTGCTTTTTTAAACAAAAGCTAAAATCCCTATATAGAATTGTAATACTAAGACTGTCAAGTGTAAGACAGCCCTCGAAGGATTCGCTTATCGTGTAAAGGCTTTGATGTTGAACACATTTTGCTTTGGTTCTAGTTTTATTATTTGTAAGTAGACATATCTGAGTCTTGGTTTTCCTATCTGTAACATAGTTTTAAAAATTATGCATATATGCCTGCCAGAGGGCATTACCCAAAAAAGGCTCTTGATATAGACCATCTCTCTTCTCTATGTGAAAAAGTTAAGATATCCTGATGAGAATTTTAGATTAACTAGAGGAAACTAGAATAAAAAAATTAAGTACTTGTAAAAATTCATAGTTAGTGTGATAGCTACTATATGCAAATACGTGTATATTTGCCCCAAATCTCCATAACAATTGTAATATTGAGAATAGTTATGAGTTGGGAGTTTGCTATCTATTTCAAATTATATCATTTTATAATAAAACTATAAAACATAAAAAGAAATAAAGGAGGTTGTCCTTTCAAAATGAATAAAACTGAAGAAAGTTTTTATTAAACTTAAAGTATTTCCTTGATCCTAATCCATTTGTTTAACTGAATATAAAACTCAAATTTATTTTGATTTTAGTAAATATATTTTAGTATAAAAACTCAGCTGTGGTAATTGAACAAGTGTAGGTTTAAAAATACCCAGTATGACCTAATACTCAATGCTCAAAAAATCAAATTTACTCTGACTTAGAAATTGACACAATTCCTCTTGACTGAATTGCCTTCTGTGTCCTTGGCAAAATTTGTATATTTCACAACCTACTTCCATTGCAAATCAAAGTAGCATGTGTCTTACTATATGAAGAGTGCAAAGACAGCTATTTTTTCTTTTTTGTATTTTATGAGAAATTTTTCAAAAGGTGAAAAGCCAATGGCTAATATCTTCATGGCTATTATTGTTCATAAACATGACTTTGTCAAGATTCATAGTTTTCAATTCATCTTTCTCTAAAAACAGAAAGAGCTGTTATATGAGATTCTACAGCATTTTGTTATTATTAAATCTAAATTTAAACAAGAATAGATTTATTAAAACCTGGGTAGTTAGGTTTACGTAGAATATTTCCCTTAGGAAAAAGGGAGACTTTCAAATTGGAAGCTACAACATTAAGGTTACAATATTAAGTCCGCTTGTGTGTGTGGAAGTAATTTTTTCTCACCTTGGCATTTTGAAATTTAGGGACAATAGTGGTGAAGAGAGGTTCAATTCAATTGAGAGGTCAATTCCTTTACGGAATTAGTGAAACTTATATTTAGGGAGATGTTAAAACTGAATGACTTTTTAAAAAATCCAGAACAAACTTGATCCCATCTAAAGTCATGTTTATAGGAAGTCCTTTGTAATTTTTTCTCCAGCAGCTTAAATCTTATGTTCTTGTTCTCACAGCAATATTTTTACTTTTCCTGATTGATAGATAATTTGGGAATTTTACAGCTGTGTAAACACATTAGAGCGAGTAAGTTATGTCTGGTATGTGTGAAGTATGTCTGTGTTAAGTGATTTAAACACTATTAATATTTGCAAGTAAATTTAATAAATATGTTAGACAGTTTACATATTTAATATTTTAATTATAAATGCATGACTTATATCCTATTCTGACTTGGTAAAATACTCTGAATGCAAATAAATTATATCCTGTAATTCTTTCCAAGTATCAATAGATCAGTTTTGAAAAATAACCTCTTAGGTTTTTAGCTGTGAGTAGTTAATCTTAGCCTTGTATAATTTAATTTTAATTAGTTCATATGCACCATAATATGATCAATTTATTATACATGTAAATGTTAATTATTCCTGGAGCTGAGGAACTTTAAGGGCAAAAAATCTAAACAAAACTAATCTTTTGGGTATCCTATTGGGATGAGAAAACCAAAACAAGTGATAAATCCAAGGTTAGGTTTTGTACCTCTTGACCCTTTGTTAACTGACTCAATGTTGGCATCTCCAGTCAAGACAAAGTAAGTGTTAACATTGATGTAAACTTTCATGTCCTGGTCCAGAGAGTTTAACTGCAGGAACCCCTTCTTACTGTGTATTTCCTCTGATCTTTTTCCCAGTCATGACTCACTGATTTGTGTACACGATTCTCTCAAGCACTGGGGCATCAACATGGTGCAAGATATTCAAAGGATTCAACCTCTCTTTTTCTCCTAACATTCCTTTCCTTTTGTCTCATTTATCTTAGGAGCCTCTATCCCAGACATCAGAGTTTCCCTGAGTTCAGAGCTTCCTTTGACTTCAAAGAGCCCTGGGTGGTTAGATCAGGTTTGAAGCACATGAAGGGAAAAGGGGAAAAAAAAAAGAAGAAGAAGAAGTTCTGTTACTTAGTAGAATGCTGCATTATGCTCCGAGGAAGGAACTGAACATTCACCATGTAAATGTAGAATCCAGCCCTTGTTTGTGGGAAAGAACATCCCAGGCAGATAGAATGCCCGTAGTACATTTGCCCATCAAGAGTTCCTAGTTCCCTGAGCTGCGAGATAACAATACCTCAGGATGTTGTGCCATCCAGGAATTAAATCAGACATAAAGATTAGAGTTTTTCCCTCAAAAATCAATAGCACATTTTGTTTAGAGAACATCTTATCTAGATTGAATTCAGAGAAACCCAGTCATCTGTGTGTACTGCCAACATCTCTGACAGAACAAGAAAGTATGGTAGAAGTGTTAAAAGGGTTTTCTTGAGAAGAAAATCTCAGCTGTGATTAAACTACACATAAATGTATCTGGTTATGCAACTAAAATAACTATATTTTTAAAGAAATTCATGATTTTGAAATGCAACTATAATGCTAGAGTTAAATCAACAGAGTGACTCTTAATGAGAGGGAGGGGATATAGGTGGAATGATATGGAAATAAATGATTTTCTTTTGCAGCCTGGGATTGAGGAGAGAATGAAAAAATAGGAAAGTCAGTGATTAAGTCCAATTCCTTGGAATTAAACAGAAGTATAAATATCTTATCAAGTTTTAAGTATATTCAATTATCTCCCAGTGTAACATTAAATTCTCTTGTGACCATTTCTCTTTGTAAACTTTTCTTCTCTAGCTCATTGTCTAGAAACGATGAAATGACTTGTTTAATGTTTTTAGCTTTGGGAGTGTTTCTGTTCTAGACTTTCTTACAGGGATATGCCTAGATGGGGCTTAAGTGCTATAGCAATAAATGTTGGCATGTCATGTACAATGATGTGAAAAGGTGCTTGACTTTTTTCTTCCCACGCACAGTCAACTAGTCATAGGGAATTTGATATGGACTATATGTGCAGGCTGAGAAAAGAAGCAGTGTGAAAAGATGGGTGTGATGGGGAGTGAATGGTGTGCTTATGGAATTTACCTGG